CCCCCCCCCCCCCCCCCGCGAGTGCTGGGATTAAAGGCATGCATCACCAATATCACCAATGCCTAACCTTATTTTGTACTTTTAAGAAAGATTTTTGATAGCCTGATCTACAGAGTGAGTTCCAGGACAGTCAGGGCTATACAGAGAAGCCCTGTCTTGAAAAAACAAAAAAAAAAAAAGAAAGATTTTTGCTGTGAAATTGGCTATTTTCAAATATCGCTCTGTGTTTTGGATTGCTTACCACACAAGGTATCGGTAGTATATAACACGTGTGTGTGTTTGTGTACATGTCTCCCTCTATTGCTGTTTGTCTTATTGTCTTGAAACTACTAAATAGCATATGCATGTCAGGAATGAGGGTGCAGTCCTCTTCAGAGGGACATCATTCTACACAGCATAAAAGTAGAGACAAGTACTGTATACTGCCTCAGGATACAGTAGGGCTGCAGTAGATACAGTAGAGTATATGGACATGGTAGCCTGTAACCTCAGCAGTGAATGATGGGTGTGACCATGACACCAGCAGCTCATTGCTGTCACTTGCAGAAGCCAGTGACCAAAGCAAACCTTAAAATTATACTTTATGCCAGGTGTGGAGGCACACACCTTCAATCCCAGAACTTGGGAGGCAGAAGCAGGTAGATCTCCGTGAATCTGAGGGCAGCCTGGTCTACAGAGTGAGTCTGACCAGGTACATGAGACCAATAAAAAAAACAAACAAAAACAAAACAAAAAAGACCTTTTCTTTATTTAGAGAGCTGACAGTCTGAGAAGACAGTGGATTAACACCTGAAAAATTCATCTTCTGTTTCACCTCTAGCCAGCGGGATACATAGGGAATCAGAGAGGCAGAGCAAGGGCAGGCAGGCAGGCACTTGCTAGTGCAGAATGGCCCCTCTGCCTGGGCGCTCAGCCACACTTCTGGGACTCGTGAGCCTGTGGCCCTCATCATCCTTGCTTCCTCCCTCATTCTCTGGGTGTTTTGGCTCAGACACTTGAACCGCTGAGTCAGGCTGGTCTCTGCTAGTATCAACGTCATCCCCCTCCAGTGTACCTGGACTGTAGGTGGGGATGGTTAATGTAAGGACCCACGAAGAGGACCCCCAACTCAAGCCCCAATCAGCGCGCACCCAAGGAGACACGAGAGACTGACTTGATGCAAATGGCAAAAGGCAGTTTACTAAGGAGGACCCTCGGATCGAAACTCATCCCACGCAGGGGAGAGAATTTCAATCTAGACCCCCGAGAGCACAGGGCTTTTATAGGGGACAGTGTAAGGGGGAAGGGGAAAGCGGGAAATTCTGACGCGGTTACATATAATTGGATATTTCAAACATCAGCACTTTGAGTAAGCAATCATTTTGACAGGCTGGATGGCCCACTATTTTTGACCATGAAACTGAAGACCTCCACAGAAGGGAGACCCTCACTCAAGTCTCAGAAAGTCACGGCCACCCAGTAATCTGCTCGAGACACCGTGTACCAGAGCAATTGTGAGGTTTATTAGGGCGTGACAGTTAGCTGCCGGTCAATTCGTATGCCCACGCAGGAGCTGAATTGACCCCGACAGCCAGTTTGAGAGGGGTTTTTAAGGGGAAAAACCACAAACCAAGGAATGGGGAGGGGTGAGGGGTTGTTGAGGTGGCATAACATAAAAATAGTGGAACATTCCAAAGGAACCCAACCTACGTGAGTCAGGATCAGGTGAAAACTCTCTGTATGCTTATCTTTCTCAAGAATGTGGTCCTGTCCTGTTACTTCGGCCTTGCCCTGTCACTGCAGTTCTCAGCTTGGTTCCACCTGGCTAAATTGTATTCTAGCCAGTTCTTACCTTGCTTCATGCCTCGGTTTCTCCATGTCTTTATAAAGAAAGCCTAAAGAATATTTTATATGTCTAAAAAAGATTCTATATACCCAGTATCTATAATTTTTCACTCTACAAAACCTCAGACCTTCTAGGATAAACACTAGGTGGCCCATTACTCACTTGGGCATGTTTAGACTGGTCAAGATATATCTTTGGTTGTTTCTACATTTTTGGTCACCTTGTCCCTAGAGGGGCTTGATATTTTTATTATGGCTATTCTCAGCAAGCTCAGCAAGCCGTCCGGCGGTCTTTGCCAAGTTGTTTTTAATTTTTACTCTCACAGTTAACTGAGAAGACACAAGCCATTAACAGCATGTTTGTGCTAAGTTACCAACAGCATACATGTACAGATTCCTTTTTACAGAGTAAAGTGTGAGAATACCTTACACAGAATAGGAAAGTGCCACTAGCAGCTCCCCCAGCCCCGCCCCCACCTGGATCTCCTACCATAGGTACTTGCTGCAATTCAATTAAGTATGGAGTTTGTTGTTGGAAAAGGGTCACGCCCTTCATAATGTTTTACCTTTTCAACCAAGGTTTTGGACCTGCAGCAGAAACTAGATCATGCTCGACAAGTCTGCCTTTCGGATGTTTGCATTTTGCGTAAGAAGCAACTAGAGGAAGAGATCAAGGAGGCAAAGAGCATCCAGGCCAGGCTGCAGCAGCAGTGCCAGGAGGAGCAGCAGAGGAGGTAAGGACGGCCAGGGCCTGGGTCTCCTGGGGCACAGATTTACCCAGGACACTGGCAACTTGCCTTAACCGGGATCCTGCCGTGAAGTTTGACACATTGCTTGCCTAGCTCTCTGGTATGATCTGCGCAGACTCGGGCTTCACTGAAGTTGTATTTTTTTTTTTTATTCATCAGCTAATGTTCTTCCAGATACTTCTGGATCATTTATAGGCATCTTTAGCATCAAGAACTGCTAGCAGATAAGATCTATCGATTTTTTTTCTCTTAAAATCATTGCTATGATTCTGACTTAAAGCATTCTTTTGGATGCTCTGAACCTCAGCAGTTGGTGCTTCTCATCTGTATGATGTTCAGAATTATTCATATATATTTTGAGAAAGATATATTATCCACCCAAAACACACAGAGATGTTCACACACCCTTTGTTGCTCAGAATCTTCTAGCTATAGCTACTTCTGTTCTAGGACCTGTCACAAAACACCACTGAGTGAATATTTGTTGAATGAATGAATGAGTGTCTGTGTGGGGCAGTGGGCTATGAGAAAAGGCCAGAAAGCTTGGTAGAAAGCTCTAGAAGCCCCAGCACCCTGGTCTGAAGAAGGCCATTGGGACAGGAGGCACTTCGAGCTTCCCAAAGTCATCTGGCTCTCTTAGCTTCAGCTCCCCACAGCCCCTCCCACGGAGAGGTCCATGGCCAGTGATCACATAGGAGTAGCACCTTCATGCGGATGAGGCATTCTCAAGCTCTCAGACCAAGCCAATAGGGGTTACCTGCTGCCGCCCCAAAAACTGTATATATTGGCCAAGCTGAAAAGTAAATGTGTGTGAGATCCTTCCCGCTGTCGGAGAGCTTTTGTCGTGGTTCCTCCCCTTATCACTGCTGTGCCGAGGCACTGAGACACGGTTGGTGGCAGGTCAGCAGCAAGCTATAACACTTCTCTCCTCTCCTCACTGCCTTGGAGGCGCTGAGATGCGGTTTGGGGCAGGGCAGCAGTGAACTCTCCCTGCCTGCTCACCACCCATCCCGGGCTGCCCGCGGATAGCCGCTGATTGCACCCTGTCCTCAGCCTGGCCAGAGATCCTCGTGGGGCCCATCTGGAAACGGTCCCACATGTCTGAGCTGGCTGTTTGTTTGTATGCAGGATGACTGAATACACTCAATGAGATGCCACGGAGAAACCCTTGCCCCATCCACCATGTTTCGAGAGATGGTGGGCTAGCCTATCATAATGTAGTTAGATCCTAGGTAGTTGCAAGGCTTGCTCAAAAGAAAGCAATAAGATGCCCCAAAGACAAACATACCCTGAGCTGACCCAAAACTGCCAGATGATACACACTTGTAGGTCAAGGGGCAGATAAACATCAGCCGCACTTTCAGGAGGTGTCGGCAAGCTTGCCACAAGGCTGGATAATTGACCAAAAAACCTCCCATTTTTAAAATGCTATGGAGAGGCTGGGATGAGGTGGAGAGATGGTTCCGTGATTTAGTGCACTTGATGCTCTTGTGGAGGACTGGGATTTGGTCCCCAGCACTGTACCAACTTGGCCGTCTTTCTAGGCCCTCATTCTACCTTTCTCGGTCTTGCTGAATTGCCCAGGCTGGTCTCAAACTCGTGGGGTCAAGAAATGTTCCTGAGTCAGCCTCCCTGGAGTGTGAGACTACACATAAGCACATCACTCTGCAGATTTCCGTTTCTACAGTGGATATAGTAGTGTGCACGTTATCTGTTTTTCCTTATATGAGTTTCCATCATTTCCATCTTTCAATAGTGAAGTCGACTCATCATCAAATCTATTACATCTGTGGGCATACAGTTAAGACACTCTAATGATATAGTGATATCCTCTGCCCTTTTAATATCTGTGGCACAGATAGAGAAACCCTTGTTTTAATTTCTTTCTTTCTTTCTTTCTTTCTTTCTTTCTTTCTTTCTTTCTTT